CCACGGAACCCGAAATTGACTACGCCATTGTGATTGGCGTAATTTTTAGAGCCTACGGTGAAATTTAATTGAAAATTGTTTCAGATCGAATTAAATAGATTAAATTGGTGTTTTAGTACTCAATTGTTTAATCTTATTTAATTGTGGCTAATAGGGCTTATAAAGAGGGACACTACACACTCAATTCCTCTCTTTGTTCATTTGAGCCAAAAATTACTCTAAGAAGAGAAGAGAGGGTCGGTTAGAGAGAGAGAGTGTAGGAGATTGAAGGTTTGGTCAAGAAACTTGGGAATCTTGAAGCTACACTCAAGAATTAAGCATAAGCTTGGAAGATAAAGCTCCTAGGTGAGTAAATTCATGAGTTTGAACTTGTGATTTTGTGAATTAAAGATTAATTGGTGATCAAGAACAAGAGTTGTGCTATAATTGATGAATTTGAAGCTAATGTACACATGCATGTATAGGATCACCATGATTTTTGCATAATCAAGCATGTATTAAGTTGAATATGGAAATATGAGTGTTGAATCATACATGCAAGCATGTTTTTGTTGTGTTCCATGAGAATGAACACCATTTGCATTATTTGGAATAGAAATGAAGTCAAGATTAGCATGCATGTTTGAATAATTAAAGATATGGAGCTTGTATGAGGTTGAAGACATGAGTTTGAATTATACAAAAGGAACGTTAATTAATTTTGAAGATTGGCTCCATGTTGTTTGTGTACTCATGCTATATGATATATTTCTCCATTTTGGTATCTTAATTTGAGCTTTGGAGCCTTTGAATGTCAATTTGAGCTCAAGAACATGTTCTGGAAAACCCAGAAATTTTGATGTCTGCTCGAGCGGGAAATACGTGCTCCCAGTACTTTTTGCAGATATGGTGTCTGCTTGAGCGGGAAAGTTCACGCTCGAGCGGGGAGCTATGTAGATAGACCTTCAGCTCGAGCGCCAGACTTCACGCTCGAGCGTAATTTTGATGCATCCAATACTTTTGTAGGCCTCAAGAGTACGCTTGAGCGGGGAAGTCTACTCTCAAGCGGGGACCCTGTTTTCTGAAATTTTGAAAAGATATTCTGTGTTTCATTTTCTATTCTCTTTCACTTCTAAAGTACTCTTAGGTATGCATTGAGCATTGTAACTGAGTTAAAGAGATAAGAATGAAGCCTAAAGAGAAAAATGTGAATTAAGAGCGGATTGATCGATTGTGACCCATATGTGTTATGTGATGTGTAGGGTCAAGCTCTAGGGCAAATCAATCAGCCGATCACTGTGAGTAATATCTTAACAGAGATATCTGAAATATGTTATTGTCCAATTGCTTACTTCTATGTAAGTTTTATAAGTTCATTGATTCGATTGGTGGACACTGTTTGTTATACCGAATGGATGGGCCAGAGGCCATTTTGACATGAATGGATGGGCCAGAGGCCGTTTTGACATGAATAGATGGGCCAGAGGCCGTTTTGACATGAATGAATGGGCTAGAGGCCGTTTTGACAAGAATGAATGAATGGACCAGAGGCCGTTTTGACAAGAATAAATGGATGGGCCAGAGGCCGTTTTGACATGAATGAATGGGCCAGAGGCCGTTTTGGATAAGAATGAATGGATGGGCCAGAGGTCGTTTTGACATGAATGAATGGGCCAGAGGCCGTTTTGACAAGAATGAATGGATGGGCCAGAGGCCGTTTTGACATGAATAAATGGGCCAGAGGCCATTTTGACATGAATAAATGGGCCAAAGGCCGTTTTGGACAAGAATGAATGGATGGGCCAGAGGCCTTTTTGACATGAATGAATGGGCCAGAGGCCGTTTTGACATGAATGAATGGGCCAAAGGCTGTTTTGACATGAATGAATGGGCCAGAGGCTGTTTTGACATGTAGAAATGGGCCAGAGGCCGTTTTGACATGAATGAATAGGCCAGAGGCCGTTTCGACATGAATAAATGAATGGGCCAAAGGCCAGTTTGACACGAATAATAGTTTGACACGAATAACAGTTTGTCATTTGAATGGGCCAGAGGCCAGTTTGACATGAAGGAAATGATGGACCGAAGGCCAGTTTGTCATTTGAATGGGCCAAAGGCCAGTTTGACATAAACGAATGTGCCAAAGGCCACTTCGACGTGAACGAAAGTACGAATGGGCCAAAGGCCAGTTTGACCTGAATGATACTAATGAATTGGGCCCGAGGCCGTATGATGTGTTTGGAACCGCAGTTACTTAACCTACATATGTCTATGTATGTATGTATTAGTTTGAAATATAAATTGGGCCCGAGGCCGTTTGATGTAAATTGTTCCAATGTATATTCTTTATTTGATATTATTCACTGGGCTTTCACTCACGCTCATTCATGTGTTTGTAGCTGAGCCAAGAGAGGTCCAAACCCAGCCTCAGTGAAGTCTGTATGAAACAACCAAAATTTTGAAAAGTCAACCCTTGCGTCTCACGCACGAGACACGTCTTTGCCTTTTTGCCATTCTGTGTATTTCGTCATGTTGGCGAGGACTTTGGTATACGTCTATGTATAGTTTTGTTTGGCTAACTTAGATTTGAATGATCCTGTCTGTATAAAACCTTATGCTACTATACTTTCTGTTGTGAGTTATTAACATATGTAAATGTGGAATGTTATGATGTGCATATAAGCACGGCTCTATGGATAAGGTTTTAAATTGCTTCCATTTGGCCTCTATTAACTCTGTTAAAATACGTTTGGTTTGGTTTAAGGCCGTAGGTAATCTCATGATTACTGGCCGGTTATGTCCTTAACCCACGGGGGCGGGTTCGGGTCGTGACACCACGCGTCCCGAGGAGAATGGACGTAAAAGCCCACATAGAAAACTATATAAACGACATTGTGCCTCTATACTCAGGTCTGGAACATCCTCTAACCAGAGCTCACCTACTACTTTGTCTTCTCTCTTTTCTCTCTCTCTAAGTGTGCTAACTTGACTGTCAGAGGGGTTTTCCGACAGCACACTGCTAGATAGCTCACCATCATCATGTTCTTAGGTCTATCAGAGTGAAGTGCAGCTTGGACACGAGGAGGGCCTTCAATCTGTGGTATCGCTGCACCTTTCATGGTGAGCAAGGGCACCGAACTGAGGATTGTCTGCCTCTGAAACAATATTTGGAGGAGTTGGTGGTCGCTGGCCACTTGGACCGTTACATTAACAGAGGCGTCAAGGCCACGCCCCATGCTCCAACTGAGCTAAATGGTTTGGCCGCGCTAGAAGCACCCCCCCAAGGCGTGATCAATGTGATCCATGGTATTATCGAGCCAGCGTGGGTATGCGAGCTCCAAGGGATGATCAAAAAAGCAGAACATATGAGGGAAGTCCTGTCAGTCCAACCCGCGGTTAAAAAAAGCAAAACCGAGGTCAAAGATGTGCTCAGCTTTTCAAGCTAAGATCTTGAACAAATTCAAACGCCGCACAATGACGCTCTGGTGGTCACCCTTCGCGTCCGGGACTTTGACGTTAGGCGTATTTTGATCGACCAGGGCAGCTCAGTCAAAATAATGTACTACGATGCCTTCAAGCAACTCAAGCTAAGTGATAAAGACTTGGCCCCAGCAACCTCGCCACTGGTCAGTTTCAACTCGCAACTGGAGTGACCCATGGGAAAGATTATCTTACTAGTCAAAGCTGGATCTGTGGTCAAGCAGTTGGAGTTCTGGGTGTTGAAGATGCCTTCCACATACAATCTGATCCTAAGTAGAGGATGGCTTCACGGCATGCAAGTGGTGGCTTCGACCTACCACTAAGTTATGAGGTTTCCCTCTACTATGGGGATGATTGAAGAAATCTAGGTGATCAAGTCATGTCGAAGCGGTGTTTCATGGCCGTAAATGGGAGCCAAGTAGCCAAAGACTTGATGCAAATGATCGAAGGACCGGAAGATCAAAGTGTCCTGGATGATGTGGGTACCAGTGCCGAAGAAAAGGCTGTTGAAGACTTGGTGGAGATAAGGATCAATGAGGATAATCCAGAGAAGTTCTTTCTGTTGGGATCCAGCTTGACCGCCCAAGAATGGCTGGAGATGGTTAAGTTTTTGGTGGCAAATATCGAAGTGTTTGCATAGACGCCTTACGACATGCATGGCGTTGACCCAAACTTCATTTGCCACCAACTCAACGTCTTTCCGGATGCCCAGCCTGTCATTCAAAGAATGTGGAGATTAGCGCTTCATCACGCCAAGGTAGTGGCAGAAGAGGTCAAAAACTTGCTTGAAGCAAGGGCAATCCCGGAAGTGCACTACCCTTGGTGGGTTTCCAACACGGTTGTGGTGCCAAAGAAGAACGAGAAATGGCGAGTTTGTGTTGACTACAAGACGGTCAACTGCACTTGCCCCAAAGACAGTTTCCCTTTGCCCAGAATCGACCAACTGGTGGACCTTACATCTGGACACAACCGACTCTGCTTCTTGGACGCTTACCGTAGTTATCATCAGATCGCCATGCATGAGCCTGACCGGGAAGTTACCTCTTTCACAACGCCAAAGGGGTTATTCTGCTACCGGGTTATGCCCTCACTACAACAAAAAGTGTCTTTAGAGACGAAAACTAATGATGGAAATAAATTTTGTCATGAAATACGTACCTTTTAATGATGAAAATAATATTTCGTCTCCAAATGTACCATTTTTAGAGACAAAAATAAAATTTTGTCACCAATCTACATACATAATAAAAAATTATGTGACGAAATTATTTTTCGTCATTATTTATATTTTTTTTGTCGCCGAAGATTTTCCCATTATTTTTTTCAGAGGGTGCCAAATTTTTGAGACTTTTGGTGAGGAAAAAATTGGTCACCAATTATAAAATTATTAATGACAAATATATTTTTGTCACCAATAATATTAAATATTTTGATATCATTTAGTGAGGAAACTATTTTCGTGGCCAATATTTTCATCTTTAGTGAGGAAATAATTTTGTCACCAATAAATGATTTAGTTGCTAAATATTTTAGAGGGAAATTAATATATTGGCGCCTTATAGAATTTTTCATCTTCTCACATAGATACATCGATGGATTCTGCTTCTCACATAGAAATTCGACTACCAAACCTCATCCTACATCACCTCACCTCAGCGTAGACCACCAACGCCGCTCGCCACCGCAACCGTTGCTCACCACAGCTATCGTCTCATTCTCACAGGTACTCTCTCACTCTCAGTCTGTCACTCTCTTACTCGCGGTCTGTCTTTCTCTCTGCTTCTCGCTCTGTCTACCTTGATCACTCTTTCTCCCTCTCTATCCCCCTTTCTCTATTTCCCCCTTTCTGAATCTTGCTCTAGGGTTGTTATGATTTGTTCAATTTAATTTGGCGTTGATTGCAAAAAATGGGTTTGGTTGAAGTGGTCTATTTTTCCCTTTTTGAATCTATTGTTTCCCTCTTTATATTTAATGTTTTTTTATCATCACTTTCTACATCTAGCTTTGATATATAATGCTTGTGTTTGTTATTGAATTAGATTCTAGCTGTAATAATTTTTTTGCTCTTTAGAAATTGTTATTTCACGAGTGAAGTAGACATCATCTTCATTCCTTATTGAAGCAGATTTTTGCAGACATTTTTTCTTATGTAGTAATTTTGACTACTCAATTCTATAGAGAGCTTAAGTGGTTATTTGCAAATCCTTGTGGTTGCATATAAATATACATGTATTGCTGTCAATTGGTTTTCTTTCCTATATTTCATTTGTGAAATGCTGAAGATTGCAAAAAGATATGCATGTTTGGGTTGGTTGAAAATTATTTCCTGTGTCAAAATGACTACTGGATGGAGGAATTGGGCTTCCGGCTTCCTCAAAGAAAAGGTCAGTTGACTCAACTTGATGACAAAGTCATTTGCAGCGTGTCAATTGGTGTCATTTTTTCAAATTTTGTGAGTTTCTCCTCTATTTTGCAGTATATCTAATAGGTTTGTACAGTTATGGAGAACTGTAGATAAAAAGAATGATTGTTACTGTTTTGATCTTTAAATTTCAATTGCTCAGTACATGAATGTGATACAATTGGTAATTTTCTTCTTTAGGTAGTACCAGTTGTACACAAGTATTATAATTAGTTCTATGATTTAACTGATACATTATATGATTTTAGTTTATGAGCTTATTTCAAATCATATATTATGCATGAATAGTGCAGAATTTGAGGTGAAAGATTTTTATTTATGTTGCATCTTTGAGTTACTTTACCACAGGTCTATGTTTGAGAACATGCCCACCAATTGTTTGGTTAAATTTCTCAATGCCTATTATCATGTCAAACTATCCTATTAAATAGCATTGGGTCAACACTCTTGGGGGCATAAACGAAAAGCTACTATCAAAGATAAATGTGGAAACAAAAGAGCTTATAAAATGGATGTTGAAGAAGAGGATGAGGAGACAGATGATGATGAGAAGGAGGAGGAGGAGGACAAACTTGAAGCAAAAGCTTTAAGAAAGAAAACAGAAAACGAAAAAAGGGAAAAAAACCACTATTATATGTATTTGTGGTTGTAATTCATTTGATTAGTAACTTACAAATTTCATGTTTATTATTGAACATCACTTTGAGCCATCAGAAGTTGGTATGCTAGCTAGGTGCTTGTGCGTTCCGCTTGTTTCAATTCGTGTTGGGAAGATCAACAAGCAAGGAACTCTCTTGTGCTCAACTGGTACAAGGTAATTACATATAATTCTATACTGGTTTGTGTAACTGAATTAAATTATGTCTAGTGGATTGTGACGCCCCAAATTTTTGGAACATTAAGGGAAATTAAATAAACAAAATGACTTAATAAATCAAAAAGTTGACATCTTAATAGGACATTCTAACTCTCGTACATAACCAAAGGTTCAAATAATATTAAATAAAAATTTAAAATTATCCAAATGCAACATCAAATGAAATTATAAAGTCCTTAATAGCTAATACATAAGATAATAAAAGTTATTTGACTCTATTCATGGTTTCAAGTCAGCCAAGGCTCTACGTTAGCGTCAACTCCATTTCAACTTCAATTATTTCCTCGCCAAAACCTGGCATAAGACGCCAAGGCAACAAAAATATATGCCATGAGTTTTGCAACACAGTAAGAAAACATAACCAACCTACCATTCTTTTTAAGAGAAAAATAATGAGATTATAAACAGGAGATAACAATATAATTGTAAACATAAATTACAATCATTAAAATAATTTCAATAATTTTAATAAATTAGGTAGCACTCGAAATCTCACCGAAGAGATTTAACTTACCAACCACTAAGCATGGCAACGGTTAATTTGAAATCTTCCCTTGCTCAAATATTCAAGTGTTACCAACCGTAACTACCAAGGATGCCCACGTCCGGAGTTATATACCCAAGTAGGGTATCCGTGATCTGCCCTAAGGAAACGGTCTACCAGGGGTACGTAACCTCCCTGTGTGCCACCTGCACATCCACCCTTATTCCAAAACCGAATACCGAAAAAAGTTCAAATAAGACCCGTGCCATCTTAGGATTTCGCGACATAATTTACGTAAGAATTCTCAAAACCAGGGCTCACCCTGAACAACCGGTATTAACCGTCAACCCTTAATTTCGTACACTCTTTAAAACCAAGACTCACCCTGAACAACTGGTATTAACCGTCAACTGTTAACTTTGTATATGCCGTTAATCATTTCAGTTAGTTTTGATATTAATCACAAATAATTCCAATTTTATTCATCAATAATGTTGTACCAACTCATGAAAAATTCCAACATAAAATGTTACACATGTCACACTAAAAATAAACCAATGTACAAAATTTAAATAAACAATAAATTTAAACCATGTTATGAAATAATAATGTAGATACCAAAAAGAAATAAATCATAATCACACACATGCATGGATTTTTAATCTACAAGATTAGACCAACACAATATTAAATTTTAGTCCAAATAAATAATTGAAGAGATAATTTTTGATTCCTACTGAATCTGCCAAACTTTTCAGAATGTATATCTCGTAAATAAAATTATAAATAAATTACTTATACAACTCTAAAATCCATACAAATCTACAAAATACTCAATAAACATGTTATGGTCATTTTTCACAAATAATTTTCCAAAAATAAATTATAAATAATTCTTAAAAATTCCAAGAAAATTTATGACACAGATTTATCACATTTTCTTAAATTAATTTCATATTTAAATTTATAAGTCAATTCCATAACCTAAAAATTTATTATGAAGTCGACATCATTCTAAACAACTTTGTAGAGAAATCATCTTCAAATTTTGAGTATAAAATTGTCTAAAAATTCGTACAAATGTTTTGGCAGATTTAAGGGCCAAATAAAATCTTCAATAATCTTTTTAATGGCATAAACTATACATGCAAGTCCAAATTTCACAATATTATCATGAATTTAAGATTACAATATCTTGAAATATTTGATATACAAATCATAAATTTACATACAACTTTAAATAAAATTTTATTTTCAAATTTAGTCATTTTTATCATATAAATATAATCTGAAAATTTCAACATTTAAAAAAATTGAGAGTGTTGAGAGGGTTTTCTTACTTAGTTTTAGGATTGAAATGGAATAGTGAAATGGTAGGAAAATATGCAACCTTAATCTCCCACTCTTCTTCTTCTCTTACTGCTTCGTTGCTCATAGAATTTTCTTCCTCTCTCTCTCTCTTTTTTTTTTTTCCCTCACTACTCTGGAGGAGTAAACATACATATGTATATATAGATAATCAAGCTGAGCCCTCTTTTTTTTTTTTCCTTTCTTTCTCTCTCTCTCTTTCTCATCATTCTCTCAGGTGGTCTCTCAGGTGGTCTAATCCACTCTTCCAATTCCAAGAAGCATAATGAGGTAAGGGTTCCATGTAAACAAACAGATGGCATTATTTTGCCACCAAGAAATTTGATTCCGATTTTTTTTTTTTTTTTGTGTGTGTGTATGTGTATTTGTGTGGGTTTCTTAAATTTGATACACTAAGATTTTAACTAAGCTATTTAGTAAGAATAATTATCATGTTGGATCCTTATTAAAATAATTTATAAATAACAAATATTGAACACCCACAAAATTATTATTTTTTTATAATATCTTTGTCAGTGATTGAATTGGGTTAATTTAAAACTAACTTATACACTAATATATTTCAGATAAACACTAAATAAAATTAATTATTATTGTTATTATTTTTTTTTAGAATAATTAAATGCGAGTTTTCACAATCTATCCCCCTAAAAAAAATTCCGTCCTCGAAATTAATTTGTACCTTTAGACTCGAAAAGTTGAGGGTAATTGGCACGTATCATATCTTTTCGTTCCCACGTTAACTCTTCCATCCCACGATGTCTCCAGAGAACTCGAGCCAACGGTATAGTTTTACCTCGTAATTTCTTCTCGCGACGATCCAAAATTTTGACAGGCTTTTCTTGAAATGTCACATCTTCATCAAGATTAATTTCTCCCTAATTGATGATGTGAGAAGAGTGTGGCTCGTATTTTCGTAGCATAGAGACATGGAAAACATTATGTACTCCAGCAAGTTGAGGTGGTAAAGCCAAATGATATGCCACTTCTCCTATTTTGTCTAAAATTTCAAAAGGCCCCATGAAGCGATGTGACAACTTTCTCTTCTTTCCGAGACGAACAACTCCTCGATGAGGTTGTATTTTAAGAAACACATGATCTCCAACTTGAAATGTTAAATGTCTTCTCCTTTGATCTACATAGCTTCTTTGCCGACTCTGAGTGGTCTCAAGTCTTTGTCTAATTAATTTCACCTTCTTGGTAGTTTCTTGAACCAACTCTGGTCGTAAAAGAGGTGCTTCTCCTACTTCAGTTCAACAGACTGGTGACCGACAAGGTCGTCCATAAAGTGTTTCATACGGTGCCATTCCAATACTGGCCTAGAAACTATTGTTGTAAGCGAACTCAATGAGAGGTAGGTGTTTGTCCCAACTTCCCTTAAAATCCATAACGCAAGCTCGAAGCATATCCTCCAAGGTTTGTATCGTCCTTTCAGACTGCCCATCGGTTTGTGGGTAAAATGTCGTACTAAAGCATAGGTTCGTTCCCATTGCCTTCTGCAAGCTCTACCAAAATTGAGAAGTGAATCGAGGATCACGATCAGACACGATGCTAACTGGTACTCCATGTAACCTGATCACTTATTTGATGAACAATCTACTGAGTGAATCCAATAGAATCTGATGACCCGGCAGGTAAGAATCGGGCTGTCTTAGTTAGTCGATCTACTACTACCTACATGCCGTCATGTCCCTATGGTGACCAAGGCAAAACCCGTCACGAAATCCATGGTTATGTGTTCCCATTTCCACTCTGGGATTGGTATGGGTTGAAGTGTTCCTGTCGGTCTTTGATGTTCAGTCTTTCCTTGTTGACATATCAGGCACTGAAACACAAACTTTGCTACATCCTTTTTTTATTCCGCCCCACCAATATTGGCGCTTTAAGTCTTTGTACATCTTAGTACCTCCCGAATGTACTGCGAATGCTGAATGGTGGAATTCCTTGAGCACCTTTTCCCTTAGTGAATTGTCGTTTGGCACGAACATTCGATCTTGATATTTCAAACTCCCAAAAGTGTGAATTTCCCAACCAAGCATGGTTTCACTAGATTCCATTTGTGCCTTGATGAATGCTACCTTTTGATCGTACTTTGTGATTCTAATATCTCGCTCAAAATTTTAGGCGTAGCAACCTGAGCACCAAGATGAGCCTTTTCATCTTGAACCCGCATTTGTACCCCAAATTCATTGAGCGTTCCAACCATATTTCATTCTCTAAGTGCTAAACTAGCAACAATCCCTCTATTCTTGCAACTTAGCGCATCTGCCACCACGTTAGCCTTGCCGGAATGATTGGAAAGGGTAAATTGATAATTCTTGAGATATTCCATCCAACATCTCTGACGCATGTTCAGATCCCTTTGGGTGAACAGATACTTCAAGTTTTTGTGATCAGTGAATATCTCAAACATTTCACCATACAAGTAGTGTCTCTAAATTTTGAGTGCGTGAACTATAGCTGCTAACTCCAAGTCATGGGTGGGATAATTCTTCTCATGATTCTTTAATTGCCTTGATCTATATGCCACCACCTTGCCATTTTTGCATCAATACGCACCCCAGACCTTCTTTGGAAGCATCACAATACATATTGTACCCAACATCACGTTCTGGTACTATGAGAATATGGGCACTTGCCAATCTTTTCTTGAGTTCTTGGAATTTTCACAAGACTCGTTTCATTCAAACTTTACCCCTTTTTGAGTCAAATGTGTCATTGGCTTGGCTAATTTTGAGAAGTCTTGAATGAATCTTCGATAGTAACCAGCCAATCCTAAGAAACTACGAATCTCAAATGTGTTCTTCGGTTGCTTCCATTATGTCACTACTTCTACTTTAGTTGGGTCTACTAATATTCCCTTTTTAGATATCACGTGACCCAAAAACTTTACTTCCTCTATCCAAAACTCAATTTACTAGCCTTAGCATACAGTTGGTTCTCTCTCAAAGTTTGAAGTACTATTCTTAAATGTTGTTCATGGTCTCCTTCAGACTTGGAGTACAATAGCATACTCGCATACCACACGAGGTAGCCCTAGTTCCATACGATCCTTGTCTTCCAGAACTAAGCTGGCTAGCCACCCAGCTAGGTGATTGGGCCGCTTTGACTTTCCAAGTGTTAGTGATAGGGAATCTCGTCTATCCCCCTGAAATTGGAATCGTGTTCCATCATGAGAGTAAGCAGTCATCGTTTTTCGATAGTAATTAATGGTGGCTCTATGGGCTAATAACCAGTCCATTTCTAGGATAACGTCAAAGTCTGACATTTCCATGACTCGTAGGTCGCAAATTAAATGCAAACTGGAATAAAATAAAATCACCACACCAGAGTTAAATGCAAGTTTTCACATGGATTTTATTTGTATCTCAACTCTGGTGTGGTGATATGGCTATTGGTTTTGTTTGGGTTTTTTTTATTATCATTTGACCCGTTGATTGGTTCACCCTGGGGAATTGAGTATGATACCACAACAAAAGTATTTTAATGTTTTGATGGAATTGGAATTTTAAGTTTGGGACACATTTGTTCAATATAGCTATAGCTATAGTTTATCCATTCCTCACGTTAGGTATTAGCATTCCAGTGAACCCAACATATCTCCCACTGTTTATTCAATATGCTTTCTGAATTCCTTACTTACACCTGTCTCTAATCCTGTTCTCTAACCTCATAGCATGAGAACGTCTCACTTTATTAAAAATCTGATCTCCCCTACCACTCATATGCTTGTTACCACCATCCTGCACAAACTTTCCTTGCATATATCTTTTTTTGGGTGAATAACCTTGCAGATATCTGTAATCACTTCCCTTAACTTTCTCAGTGCCAACTCCTTTGTCAGTTGTCGCTGCACTAAAGATAGTTTCTTAATCCATTAAGCAAAATATGATTACTCTTTGACAAGCTAGAATAGTGGAGCAGATTGCATGGTTCATAAATTACAACTTGGTTAATGCGTAGATGTTATCTTGTAGAACTTGAAGGAAATATTGAACTTCCTTTTGGTTGCAAGAATTGTATCATGAGTTACATGCCTTGGACAGATTTGAACAAGATTATCGGTGCAAGTAACAAGAAAAGGACAACTCAAATGCTGCTCAAAGAGGTAACTGTGCCCGTAATTCATGCAGCTTTCTTTTAATCAATCTAGTTTATCTACTTTTTTTTAACATGCTGAATCTATTTTAAATAATGCAAAATGATTCTTTAGATTCTAGTCTGTATGTATTGAAAATTGAAAATCTTAGAGATAAGCGAAGGTTATAATACCTATGTTGTGTTGTTTAGAATTGCTTATGTATAAAAGACATAAAAAACTAAGCTTCCACTAGTAACTTGATGATCACTTGATGTTGCTTTGATTATCATTGGTGCACTGATCTTAATTAATATAGCAGCACTGTTGACTTTTGTTGATTCGATTGAGAAGTTTAAATCAAAAGTGGTATGTGAATGTGCGAAGGTTATAATACCTATGTTGTGTTGTTTAGAATTGCTTAATTATGTATAAAAGACATAAAAAACTAAGCTTCCACTAGTAACTTGATGATCACTTGATGTTGCTTTGATTATCATTGGTGCACTGATATTAATTAATATAGCAGCACTGTTGACTTTTGTTGATTCGATTGAGAAGTTTAAATCAAAAGTGGTATGTGAACGCACACTCATAAGATTTGTCTATGGAAAAAGTGGCTAATGAATGATTGTTAAGTAAAATGTGGACATGAACTTATATTCCTAAGTTGTTCTTCCAAACCAATATCATGACTAATTCCATTGTCACTAAAAGAAACAAAAGGAAAAAAATGATGTCTTGAGGTTTTTTGTTTCAAAGCTTCCAAAGATGGTAGAATATGTATGTTTTCAATTATTTGGCGGAATGAAAACTTTCAGAGTAATTACTTCCCAGCCAGAAAAGGTCGTGGTTTCTTATATGTCATGCGTTTTAGGAAAACTATAACTATAATAACAATGAGGTAAAGATGCCTAATGTGAGACCTGGTGAACGGCTGAAAGATCTTGGTGTTTATGAAGTGATCACCTTGACTGAGCCATATGAGACTTTGGTTCCAACATCTCTATATCAAGTGAGTTTTTGTTTTTGTTTTTGTTTTTGTTTTTTAACTTGTGCATTTGTTTACAGCTTGGCATGCTTTGTTATCTAAAGTGCATCTATTTATTTTACTAAGTGCACTAATTAAAGGTTGCTTCTGAAGTGTATTCATTCCCAAACTTATTTGAGAAAGTAATTCTTTTTGGCCTTTCACTCCATCTGGAATCTTGATGGGTATTTCTGATTTGTTGGAATGTTAGCTTTACCAAATAAGTCTAAGGGAGATAATTTTTATTTATTTTTTTATTTCTTTGATTGGTGGTCCGACATATGAATGTTATTGAGATGCATAAACTATTTTACGTGGGGGTTCGAACGCGGTTACCAGACGGATGATTAAACATCACAAACACTGAAATATGCACGTGGGTACCAATTTGAAAACTACTTTAAAATTTGCACTATTCCAACATGTAGGCATGAAACTAAGTTGAAAAATGCACTTTTCTCACACAGAAGCTTGAAAATAGGCCATATGGGGGCAAAATCGTGTAACAGTCACGAGAAGGCCTGAGGAACACCTCAAACATGCCGGGAGGGACCACTTTAAGTTGTGGAAACTTACAAAACTAGCACGAGACTCTCGGTTTAAAAACAAAGTCAAAAAATGCATTTTCCCCTCACTGAAGCTTAAAAATAGGCCATAAGGGGGCCAAAATCGTGTAACAATCATGAGAAGACTTGGGAAACACCTCAAACACCTCGGGAGGGACCAATGTAAGTTCTGAAAACTTACGGAACTAGCACAGGACTCCCAGTTTGTAAACTAAGTCGAAAAATGCATTTTTCTCACATTTAAGCTTGAAAATAGGCCATCGGGGACAAAAATCATTAAACAACTACGAGAAGGCCTGGGAACACTTCAAACACCTCGGAAGCAACCATTGTAACTTATGTAAACTTACAGAACTACCACGAAACTCCCGGTTTGAAAACTAAGTCTAAAAATATATTTTTCTCACACTTAAGCTTGAAAATAGGCCATACGGGGCCAAAATCATGTAACAACCGCAAGACGGCCCGGGGAACACCTAAAACACCTCGGGAGGGACCAATGTAAGTTTTGAAAACTTGTAGAACTATCACGGGACTAACGAATTGAAAACTAAGTCGAAAAATGCACTTTTCTCACACTTAAGCTTGAAAATAGGTCATATGGGGCCAAAATCACGTAACAGTCATAAGAAGGCCCAGGGAACACCTCAGACACCTCAGGAGGGACCAATGTAAGTTGTGAAAACTTACATAACTAGCATAGGACTTCAGTTTGCAAACTAAGTCAAAAAATGCATTTTTCTATCACTTAAGCTTAAAAATAGGCCATCGGGGGGCCAAAATTGTGTAACAGTCACGAGAAGGCCGGGGAACACCTCAAACACCTCAAGAAGGACCAATGTAAGCTGTGAAAACTTACAGAACTAGCACTTGACTCCTGGCTTGAAAAATAAGTCAAAAAATGTATTTTTCTCACACTTAAGCTTGAAAATAGGCCATCGGTGGCCAAAATCGTGTAACAGTCACGAGAAGGTCTAGGAAACACCTCAAACACCTCGAGAGGGACCAATTTAAGTTATGAAAACTTACGTAACTAGCACGGGACTCTCGGTTTGAAAACTAAGTCGAAAAATACACTTTTTTCACACTTAAGCTTGAAAATAAGCTATCAGGGGCCAAAATCGTTAAACAACCATGGGAAGGCCCGAAGAATACCTCAAACACCTCAGAAGCAACCATTGTAACTTGTGTAAACTTACGGAACTAGCACGGGACTCCTGGTTTGAAAACTAAGTCTAAAAAAACACTTTTCTCACACTTAAGCTTGAAAATAGGCCATGTGGGGCCAAAATCGTGTAACAGCCACGAGACATCATGGGGAACACCTAAAACACCTCGAAAGGGACCAATCTAAGTTTTGGAAACTTACGGAACTAGCACGGGACTCCCAGTTTGAAAACTAAGTCAAAAAATGCATTTTTTTTCACACTTAAGCTTGAAAATAGGCCATATGGGGCCAAAATCGTGTAACAGTCACGAGAAGGCCCAATGAACATCTAAAAAACCTCAGCACGGACCAATGTAAGTTGTGGAAACTTACAAAACTAACACGAGACTTCCGGTTTGAAAACTAAGTCGAAAAATGTATTTTTCTCTCACTTAAGCTTAAAAATAGGCCATCGGAGGCCAAAATCGTGTAAAAATCACGAGAAGGCCCAGGGAACACCTTAAACACCTCGGTAGAGACCAATGTAAGTTGTGGAAACTTACAGAACTATCACGGGACTCCCGGTTTGAAAACTAAGTCGAAAATGCATTTTTCTCACATTTAAGCTTGAAAATAGGTCATCGCGGGCCAAAATCGTTAAACAACCATGAGAAGGCCCAGGGAAAACCTTAAACACCTCAAGAGGGATCAATGTAAGTTGTAGAAACTTACGGAACTAGCCCGGGACTCCCGATTTAAAAACTAAGTTGAAAAATACATTTTTCTCACACTTAAGCTTGAAAATAGGCCATCGGGGGTCAAAATCGTTAAACAACCACAAGAAGGCCCGAGGAACACCTCAAACACCTCAGAAGTGACCATTTTAACTTTTGTAAACTTAACGAACTAGCGCGAGACTCCTGGTTTGTAAACTAAGTTTAAAAATGCACTTTTCTTACACTTAAGTTTGAAAATAAGCCATATGGGGCCAAAATCATGTAAAAGTAACGAGAAGGGCCGGGAAACACCTCAAATATCTCAGGAGGGACCAATGTAAATTGTGAAAGCTTACAGAACTAGCACGGGACATCTAGTTTGAAAACTAAGTCAAAAAATGCATTTTTTTCACACTTAAGCTTGAAAATAGGCCATCAGGGGGCAAAATCATTAAACAACTGCAAGAAGGCCTGGGGAACACCTCAAACACCTTGGGAGGGACCAATCTAAGTTGTGAAAACTTACGGAACTAGCAGAACACTCCCGGTTTGAAAACTAAGTCGAAAAATGTACTTTTCTCACACTTAAGCTTGAAAATAGGCCATCGGGGGTCAAAATCGTTAAACAACCACGAGAAGGCCCAAGGAACACCTCAAACATCTCATAAGTGACCATTTTAACTTGTGTAAGCTTACGGAATTAGCACAAGACTCCCAATTTGAAAACTAAGTCTAAAAATGTACTTTTCTCACAATTAAGCTTGAAAATAGGCCATATGGAGCCAAAATCGTGTAACAGCCACGAGACGGCCCCAGGGACACCTAAAACACCTCGGTAGGGACCAAAGTGAGTTGTAGAAACTTACGGAACAAGCAAGGGTCTCCCAGTCTGAAAACTAAGTCGCAAAATACACTTTTCACATAATTAAGCTTGAAAATGGACCATATGGGGACAAAATCGTGTAATAGTCACGAGAAGGCCTGAGGAACACCTCAAACACCTTGGGAGGGACCAATGTAAGTTGTTGAAACTTACAGAACTAGCGCGGGACTCCCGGTTTGAAAACTAACTCAAAAAATACATTTTACTCACACTTAAACTTGAAAATAGGCCATCGGGGGCCAAAATCGTGTAACAGTTACGAGAAGGCCCGGGGAACACCTCAAACACCTCGAGAGGGACCAATGTAAGTTGTGAAAATTCATGGAACTAGCGGGACTCCTGGTTTGAAAACTAAATCAAAAAATACACTTTTCTCACACTTAAGCTTGAAAATAGGCCATCAAGGAAAAAAATCGTTAAACAATCATGAGAAGGCTCGGGGAACACCTCAAACACCTCGGAAGCAACCATTGTAACTTGTGTAAACTTACAGAACTAGCACGGGACTCCCGGTTTGAAAACTAAGTCTAGAAATGCACTTTTCTCACACTTAAGCTTGAAAATAGGCCATAAGGGGCCAAGATCATGTAACAACCACGAGACAGCCCGGGGAATACCTAAAACACCTTAGAAGAGACCAATTTAAGTTGTGGAAACTGACTGAACTAGCACGGGACTCCGGGTTTGAAAACTAAGTCGAAAAATGTACTTTTCTCACATTGAAGCTTGAAAATTGGCCATATGGGAGCAAAATTGTGTAACAGTCATGAGAAGGCCCGGGAAACACCTCAAACACCTCGGGAGGGACCAATGTAAGTTATGAAAACTTACAGAACTAGCACGGAACTTCCGGTTTGAAAACTAAGTCGAAAAATGTATTTTTCTCTCACTTAAGCATAAAAATAGGCCATCGGGGGCCAAAATCTTGTAACAGTGACGAGAAGGCCCAAGAAGCGCCTCAAACACCTCAGGAGGGACCAATTTAAGTTGTGGAAACTTACGGAACTAGCACGGGACTCTCGGTTTGTACACTAAGTCGAAAAATGCATTTTTCACACATTTAAGCTTGAAAATAGGCCATCGGAGGCCAAAATTGTTAAACAACCACAAGAAGACCCGGGAAATACCTCAAACACCTTGGGAGGGACCAATGTAAGTTCTAAAAACTGAAGGAACTAGCATGAGACTCCCGGTTTGAAAGCTAAGTCGAAAAATACACTTTTCTTACACTTAAACTTGAAAATAGGCCATCAGGGGTCAAAATTGTTAAACAACCACGAGAAGGCCCAGGGAACACTTCAAACACCTTAGAAGCGACCATTGTAACTTGTGCAAACTTACGGAAGTAGCATGAGACTCCCGGTTTGAAAACTAAGTCTAAAAATGCACTTTTTTCACACTTAAGCTTGAAAATAGGCTGTCGGGGGCCAAAATCTTTAAAAACCATGAGAAGGCCTAGGAAACACCTCAAACACCTCAAGAGGGACCAATATAAGTTGTGGAAACTTACGGAACTAGCACGGGACTCCCGGTTTGAAAAATAAGTCGAAAAATGCACTTTTCTTACCCTTAAGCTTGAAAATAGGTCATCGGGGGTCAAAATCGTTAAACAACCATGAGAAGACCCGGGAAACACCTAAAACACCTCAGAAGTGACTATTTTAACTTGTATAAACTTACGAAACTAGCATGAGACTCTCGGTTTGAAAACTAAGTCTAAAAATGTATTTTTCTCACACTTAAGCTTGAAAATAAGCCATATGGGGCCTAAATTGTGTAACAGCCACGAGACAGCCCATGGAACACCTAAAACACCTCGGTAGGGACCAATGTAAGTTTTGAAAACTTACGGAACTAGCATAGGACTCCCGGTTTGAAAACTAAGTCGAAAAATGCACTTTTCACACACTTAAGCTTGAAAATTGGCCATATGGGGCCAAAAACGTATAACAGTCATGAGAGGGCTCAGGGAACACCTTAAACACCTTAGGAGAGACCAATGTAAGTTATGGAAACTTACAGAACTAGCACGGGACTCCCAGTTTGAAAACTAACTCAAAAAATGCATTTTTTTCACACTTAAGCTTGAAAATAGACCATCGGGGGCCAAAATTGTGTAACAGTCACAAGAAGGCCCGGGGAACACCTCAAACACCTCAGGAGGGACCAATGTAAGTTATAAAAATTTATGGAACTAGCACGGGACTCCCGATTTGAAAACTAA